CAAACCTTAGCCTCCATGACCCTGAGACCAGAACTAGATGGTGCACAGCTACCATTTCCAACTGCTCTTAAAGAGGTCACATTAGAAGGTCCTGGACAGAGTAGGAGAAAAATGTGGAACAAAATTCAAAATCCTACAAAAAGAGCAGACTCTCAGGTTGAATAGAGATTGGTGGAACTCCTGAGATTATGGCCTTACGTCATCCTTCAAGCCTGGAACTGAATTGACCCCCAAGACTCAACTTCCAGCCAAATACTACACAGATCTGTGAGGTGAATAATAACACCAGGGAAGTGTGTACCCCTTAGAACAAACAACATTTGAGATCAAAAGGGTGGTAATTGACCAAGGACAATGTTCAGAAGGCAGGAAGGGAAAGGAAAAAAGAAGGAATGGACAGAGAAACACAGGAAGTAGGATTACATCATGTGGATTGCAATCAATGGCATGAAACAAAATATGAATGGTAGAATGGAAAATTTATTTACTCTACAAAGCTTCACCCACATCAAAATAATTAGAAAAAAAAAAAAAAAAAAACAACAGACTAGCATAGCAATCCATGGCATGCAAATGGGAATAACATATTTTTGAAATTAGTTTAGAAATAAATTTCAACTATCATAAAAATATCCACAGCCTTAGCAATATTTTCTTTTCTTTTTTTTTTTCTTCAAAACTTCATCCCAAAGATCTAATTTACAAAGAAAGAGTTATATACCAATAAAAAAGTTCTCTGCAAGTGATCTATAATAATAAGGGCAGAAAATTGACTAATTGTCTGACAACAGTAAAGTCTCTAGGATTTGATCCATTTTTTAAATCACAGTCAAAAAAGTTATAGGAGATGTGAAAACCACCAATGCATGGAATCATGGCACAGTGGTTAAAACACAGTTATGGAAGGCATATGCAGCCTGGTTTCCAATACCAGCTTCCCCCTGTATTTCCTTTTGAAATGCCTTTTGTGGCATTTGAAAAGTTCCCAAACATTTTTCCCCTCAGTTTCCTGGTAAAGTAACTTGTAACCTGAAATTTGTACACACAAATTTAACTTCCTCTGATAGACTACATTATTAACGACTGACAAAGAATGTATGGCATTGGGCCAATCTTCTGCAAGTACAATGAGGATGGTAAGCATGGCTCAGGACCTGACTGTTTTTTGCTTTGCTGTTCTTAGGGTTGATATGGTCAGAACCAGTCTGACAACACCTAACAACAACACTGCAAAAGAACTTTTTAAAGTGGTTTTTTTTTTTAAAAGAAAAAGAAAAAGATATCACTTGGAAGACTAAAGTGCCCCTGACCCAAGCCATGTATTTGCATATGAAAACTGGTCAATGACAAACAAAGCTTGAAAAAGAATGGACACATTTGAATTACAGTGTTGGTGCTCAGGGCCAAGATCAAGTGGTACCTATCCCAAGAGGGTAGTTTCTCTTAGAAAACAAAAGGTAGGAAAGCCATCATCCCCCCCCACACACACACACACCCACACACTTGGGCTTCACTACTGGCAGGATTGTTTCTGTGTAATTACAGCCTTTCTCATCATAGACCTCTTGCTATCCCACTTACCCCACAGCCCTCTATACAACTTAGAAGAGGTGAAGGGATGGCCTTGGTGCATTGAGAAGCAACACAGGGAACAGTCCATTCTCCTGCACAACATTAATACCCAACATGGCAACACTTCAGCTCGGGCAAGTTTTCCCTTGCAGCATTGCAATCTTCTAAAAACTCCTGTGTGATATTATTGTTACTGCTATTATTCTTTCCATTATTTTAATGTGGAAACTGAAACTCAAAGAGGTTGGATGAGTTGACTAAAGTCCTCAGTAAGTGATGGAGTCCCTTCTGCTTCCAAATGCTAGGTTTTGCCATTTCACCCTGTTCATCTGATCTAAAATATTCTCTCCCGGGAGTTGTCTTTGAAGAGATTTATCTGGGAAAAAATCATTACATACAAATTTTTTCCTTCCCTCCCTCTGTTTCTTCTTACTAACTGCATTCCATTTCCTGAATGTTCCTAACGCTCTTGTTTGTATCCAAGACATTTTTCCAGAATTACTTGTTACAAAGTAAATAATCCTATTTTTGATGCAGTCACACTATTTCTATGAAGTACAAATAATTCAATTTGATCTCCTATCTCTGTTGTTGTTGTTGTTATGTGCCGTCGAGTTGGCCCCGACTCATAGCGACCCCTTCTTGGGTTTCCGAGGCAGTATCACTACGGAAGTAGGATTGCCCAACCTTTCTTCCGAGGAGTGGCTGGTGGATTTGAACTGCCAGCCGTCTGGTTAGCAGGCAAGTGTCTTAGCCACTATGCTACCAGAGCTCCTATCTCTAAGGAACATAATTTCTCCTTTATCATCAAGACAGGAAAAACACCAGGGGTTTGCAATCAATGGAAAGTCGTTTGGTGGTGGGGGTGGTAGGAGTGGAAATTAGTTTCAACCATTTGCCTTAGCATGGATAATTAAGACATGAATCAACCATAGCCAATGTTATAGTTAATTACTATATTAACCATAGCCTGTCTCTTCACTGTTACTAATTGCCAATAGCAGGTCCACCTGAAACTACACATAACTCATCTTATATATCATTGACTCCAGCACTAACCTGGTACATCAGACCAGGTAGCTCATTGAACTTTTAATTTGTGTTTACTTATAGGAAGACTTACATTGGCCACACAATGGTTATTTAATTAAATATTTTGTCATTGTAGTATTCACATATTCAGATCTAGTTATGAGTCAATATCATTCCACAGCATTTTAAATCACATATAAATGGATTATATTATTTCATTTAATTTCCAGCCACATATTTCACAAAGTACTCAAAGTTGCCTCAGCTATACTCTTTAACATGATACATCATTTCATAATCTTGTATATTTTGTGTGTGTCACTCCTTGGAAGGAAGACTGGACAACCTACTTCGGTAGAGATACTGCCTCAGAAATCCCAAGGAGGGGTGGCTATGAGTCGGAATCGAATCCACAGCAGTGAGTTTGGTTTTTGATACACTCTTATGCAACATCTTACCTCTGTTCTTAGCTCAGAGATCTCTCTGTCCTTGCTGTTTTGAGATTTTGATCCTTCTTTTACATCTCTTGATATTCCTTCCACTTCATTTTCATGTTGACTGTGAAAAATGTTAATCTGAAAAAGCAAAGTTAAATCTGTAATCACACAGATGCTATAAGACTGGCCCAGGATAATCCACACTGGACTTGCTCTTGTTTTTTGTTTTTTTTTTTCCTTTTTGTGTTAGGTCATTTTTCTTCTCTGTGGATTCTGGCAGGCTGTGTTGTTGATGTTCTTCTTATTGTTGCTGAACCATCTATGTTTGCACCGTAATTGAATGCTGAGATGTTAGAAAACCAATCAGTGAATCCGAATTCACTCATTGAAAAAAATGAGCAAATTCCAATTACCTCCACAAACTCCTGAACAATATATCGATTACCTTCTTACAATAACCAATTATACTGATATTTAATCCTGAATGTTAGCACTCCAGCATTCTACTATTTCTATTATCTGTAAACAATAAATATTAAATTGATCAAACAGGTAAATTTGGAAATGGAAACACATAAATAAATACATTATTAAGTGAAAAAGATATTGAAAATCTACAGCGTAAATTTTCCCCACAACTGTTTTTATATTCAGAGGTTCCCAGCAGAACAATTAAGTGTAATAAGTATATAAAATGTGTAGATAAAAACATGCATGATATTTTGTTTTATTAACATATTTTTCACTAAAATACTTAGGTAAATCTTTCCAGCTTTCATATTATGTTGTATGCAATCCCATGATAAATTAAAAAAGAAAAGCTAATATTATGCCATTTAATTAAACCACTAAATGATAGAATCACTGATAATGTTGTTATTGTTGATAACAATAGTAAGCATGTACTAGCCTCCAAGGACTAAACTTGATTGATATGCAGTGCCTTAGTTAATGCTACTACATGGGGATTAGGTGTTGTTACATCCCTGCCTTCTCTCTATATCTCTGGGCCTGGTATCTAGAGAACCCTGGGAAAGACACATTGCAATGATTCTCTGACACACAGCATGCAAGCAGAAGTGGGGGTAACAGCAGAAACAGCAGATGTCTTAGCCCAATCACACTGGACGTGGACTACAGTGGAGGTGGGGGCTGATTTGTCAACAAACTAGAGACCCTCCATGTTCAGTTGGTACCATGGAAAAGGTACCACAGGACATAAGAATGCGAACAGGAGATAACAGCACCAAGTTCATTGAAATTCTGTTTATGCACGTTTCTCCCACTTCTATGCAAATCAGACAGCTTTGCATTAATCCTTGTCAAAAATAAAATTAAAGTGACTTAGCTAAAGAAAATGATGAGTTGCAAGGGTAACATGGAAACAACTCGCTGTGGTTCAGATTCACCAAAGTAGAGTCTAATTCATGCTGGTAATTGGATGCCCTAGCTTAACTTCTAAAATCTTGGACTCTAATTCAGAGGAAATTAAATAAATGAATAAACCCTTCCCTGTCAGCAGAACTTTCAACAGCTTTACCACTCCAGGGGAAGATGAGGCCCCAATAGTGGAGGAAACCCACCTACCTAGACCAAGTCCACTTTCATTCATAACTGTGAAAGGGAAGTCAAGACTCTCTGGACATACAAAGAACCCAAGACCATAAAAAATAAAAAAGCAAAAAAAAAAAAGATCAAGATCAAGATTAAAAATGAGCATAGCTGATAGGGAAAAAAAAAAAGGAAAAAATACAATTTAAGATATGAAATAAATATTATTTAAAAAGCAAATCATTATCTTCAGAAATAACTGACATTATATTGCATTCATAAATAAGAGACAAAGAGCAATTTCAAAATTTTAAAGAAAAATAAAGGATATCCTCTAGGAATTTTTTTTTAAAAAAATGTCTAATATTCCTTAATAAACATTCATTTTAAACAGTTTGAAGATAGGCATTGAATGCTGTAAAGTCCCAAAGTTCAGTCTACCTACCCCTTCTTTCTAGACCTTCCTGCCCTTGGGGAGCTCATGCGTGATGGCACTAAGACTTTTCAAAATGCTAACAATTGCCCAGCATCTGTCTCTGATCTGTGGTTCTCCCCTGAACTGTGAGACCTCATGCCCACATGCTGCTGATCACCTCTGTAGGCATCTCAAACTTAAACATTGGAAAGCCAAAATTAGCACTTCACCTGCAAGTCTGGTTCTCCATCAGCCTTCACCATCTCCATAAATGGAAATTCCATTCTTTTTTTTTTGACTAGGCCAAAAGTATTGGATTTATTCTTGGCTCTTTTCTCTCTCTCACAGGCCACATTCACACTAAAAGCAAATCAATTCACCTTAACCTTGAAAGCATATAATAAAGCCAGTCACTCCTCTCTTACTTCTTGCTTCTATCCTTGGTTTCATACTCCCTTTCTCAACACTGCAAACAAATGAATTTCTTAAAAAGCAATGCAGATAGTCTCACTGCTCTGCTCAAAACCTTCCAATGGCTTCCCAATCTATCCAGAGTTTAAGTCAAAATCCTTACTATATACTCGGTCATATCCCCTCTGTACTCTAATTTCTTTCTCCCCCTCCCCTTATTCCAATCTAGTCACTTAGGCCTTCTCACTGCTCCTTACATACTCCAGGCATGCAAAAGCCTATCAGAAAATAAAAATACAAATGAGATATTGCACAGCTGATTAAAACAATGGATCAAGGAAAAATTGATGACTGATGAATGGAAATCCCTTAAAAGTGAGTTATTCTGATCATTTAAAACTTATACTTTTGGACTCAAAATAACCTTCCTTTTACCACTTGCTTCTTCAAGTTTATGTTAATGGAGCTGTAATCAAAATCTATTAGTAGCTGAAAAGCTGAAAGTAGTACACTCATAGATACTAAAGATTATTCATTTAGCAGAATTACAAATGTCATCCACAAATGATATATCACCTCAGTTAAAATGAAAGTGACAGAAATAGAAGGTTTCTGACTCATTTCCAATGAGTCAGCATACAATGCACTTTCTAAGTTCATATATTTTATTTAATATTTTGTCTTACAAGGCTCCAGCTCTCCCAAGGTTGCACCATCATATGATCAAATCAAAATCACTCTTTCAAAATCAGCATTTCATACTGAAATATTTTTGAAAGATTAAACTAGGCAAATTGCCATATCTCTGATTTTACAATTATCTGCCATTATTTGCTTCTGGAGAATTAACGCCTTCTGCAAATTTATATTCCAGTGCATTCAGAGCTTCGTGCAGCAGATAATATTTCTGAAGATGGTCTACCTTATAAACATGATGTAACTTATAAATAGAAATATTTTCTTTTTTATTTAGATATCATATGAAGAGAAAATTTCATTTCAAGGGGCACAGAGATATATCTAAAACACCCTGTTCTTTTATTTCCCCAAAAATTTCATCATCCAAAGTGACCTAAAAGGACTAAGTAGTTAATGTGGATTTCAAAGGTCCAGGTTGGTAAGAGAATGTGTTGAGTATTTATGTCAACATTGTTAACAACACAGCATGATGAAATCTCCCCTGAATACCAAATTCACCATTTTTCTGTAACTCTTACCAATGACTTTACTGCTTCCTCCATAGGAAAATAGAAAATATGTCTAGACAAGTCACTCAGCTTCCTGGAGCAAACTTTTAAACGTGCATGCATCTACACGAGTCTTTTCCTTTTCCTCCTACTAAAGAAATAAAATGTTCTTCTTTGATGTGAAGGCTAATCTCTCCACCTAATCTGTCACATGCTTAGGACAGGACACCTGTGGGTCCTTGGAGAAGTCATTCTATGAATCATTCCTCTCCTATACCTTCCAGTGTCCTCTGTCTCGTATCTCCCTTTCTTGGCTTCTCTCCTGCTGACATTGAATTGCACCGTATCTTCCATTTACTTTGGATAGTGTTCTAGTTACCTAGTGCCACTCTGACAAGAATATGCCACAAATGGAATGGCCTTAACAAACAGGAGTTTATTCTTACAATCTGGAGGCTTTAAATCCAAGTTCAAAGTGCCAGGCTCTAGGGGCCGGGTGAAAGCCCCTCAGCCTTGGGCTTTAGCTCTGCCTCTAGCTCCGGGCCCACTGAAGCTAGAGACTTTTCTTCATTCAGACAGCTGTTGGCTGCTGAGGCTGCCAAGCCCAAGGTTGACAAGTAAAGAGGCACAGTCCCAATGTTACCAAACCACACGGCAGGCCTTTCATTGAAGTCCATTGTAAGTCCCAAGGTCGGCAGAGCATGGCAGGCTGCTGAGCGACAACCCAGCTACCTGCAGGGTCCAAGCATGCCATAAGCTCAAGACCATTCCCCAAGGCTTCTCCTTATGTACAGGAAGCAGACCACATCCCAAAGGCAGCTACTCAGCTGCTTGTGGTAGATCCCACCATGGAGCTGATTGCCAGTCTCCTCATGGGGAATAACTACCACCAGCTGCCCAGCCAAGCTGACACACAAACTTATCACAACAGGCAGGGAGGTGGTGTGAGAGAATAAGGTTGGAGAACATCCTTTTGTCTCCATTCCCAAGGCTGCCATTTCAGCTCTTTGCTTCCTTTCACAATCCAGTGCCCTGGAAGAGTGGCTCGATTCACATCTCCCACATCTTCCCCTCGTGATCACTCTTCCGCTCTCTGGCTTCTGCTGCCACCATTCTCTTGACCCACCGAGATACAATATTTAGTCATCACCGTACTTGAATCTATGGCAGAATTTGGGATTTTTAACAATGTCCTTCTTCAAACACTTTGTTCCCCTGGTTTATCCAAAGAAAGGGTTTCCTTTTCAACTTCCCTGCCAACCTTTCTAAGACTTCTGTGGAATGTTCCCTACACTTTGGTCTGCCTATTGCCAATCCTCTAAACTCTTATTCATGTCATTCAATCCCTTGATGAGTTCATCTTCTTCCATGGCTTCAGCCACCCTCTTTCTGCTTATTGTTCATAAGTAAATAAGTAATTATATTTACTTACTGTGCTTATGAATTCAAAATCCAGACAAACATTTCCCCTCTAACTGAACTTATTCAAAACTGAATTCACTATCTTTTGTCCTCAAATTTCTTTTCCTGCAAACATTCTTTCTTGGTTAATGGCTATTCAATGACAAGGCTAG